TTCTACGAATCTCTTGTTTACTTCTCTAAAAAGAAGCCCAAAATTGAATTATGCAAAATAATCCAAATGCAACCAGTTTATCAGGATACAAAATCTGCCTAGCATATAAGGAACTCATCCAGAAGTTGTTGTGCTCTAATGGTACACAACTCTTTTCCTTTGTAATTCAATCAATCCACAATCACACTCGCAAAATTCAGACTTTCCCACGCCTGAACTGAGAAACAAGTAAGTTAGTACTATTTAGCTGGAGAATTTTAGAAGGCTGGTAACATCTATTTATAGAACAAATACAAATGATATAATGAGAAATAATGGTAGTCCTTTCAATCTGAGCCTCACCCTGCAGAAAATGTGGCAAATTGAAAGCTTAAACCAAGGTACTATCAGGTTCCAGGCTTACCAGCTCCGAGTGCACTTTCAGGTGGGCCTGGAGTTTGTACTTATCCGGGGTAGAGTAATCGCAGTCTTCTGTGGGACATTTCAGCAAAATGTTGCTATGCTTCTGGATGACATGGCGTTTAAGACAGTTTTTGGTGATGGAGGAATAGCTGCACTGAGAGCAGTAATGAAGATGCTCTCGCGTATGAGTACGGACGTGCATGTCATAATGCACCTGGTACCAGAACAACTTGCCTGAAAACAATACAGAAAAAACTAAGTAGATGGCCCTGTTCCCACAACATAGTAACCTGGTTCAACAATAAGGATAATGTGTTGTAAGAACACCAAAAAGTCAACAGACCCAGTCCATTAACCCACATGGAGTTAAATTAGCCCCAAACAGATCTAATCACACACAGGGTTAAACTAATGCCATCTAATCACATTATGAAAATACCTAACCCCACTGAATTGACCTGTTTTGGCATACCCTCCCCCGCACCCCAAAAAGTTGGGAGTAAAAAAGCAGCTTGAAAAAACAAGCTTCTTCATTTAAGAATTCGTGATTAAGACCTGACAGCACAGAATGTACCTCCCAAATGCTGATTGGTTATAGCGACCTAACCATGATACTGTTGCATTTCTGGCCAATGAGAAAGGGGGTTGTGATGTTGTGAAGCCTTACCAGTGCTCCCTTAATACAAAGGCTTATAGGATAATAGGGTTTTCTAGAGAAAAGGGACAAGGACTCTTAGATTCCCCAAAATAGGGAAATGCTCTACCAGAATTATTGGTAAGATTATTTGGTTTGGACAGCAGCCGAACTACTTTAGCATGTTGTGAGAACACAATCTCTAAGGGTGCTCAGTTGGAAGTAAAGTATAAAAACTCCTTTTAAATACAATTTTTCTCCAGTAAATGAATTTAGAACACTTGATGAAAAGGATTTAATTGATATTTCCTGAAAGACAGTGATCTTATCTGGCCATAGTTAACTTACATTCCTCTGCCAATTGTGTCCCTAATGAAAAACACTTCTAAAAGGTATTCCACTAATTGAACTATTCTTAATGCATGGAGTTGCTATGAAATGCAATTTTCAGAAAGCACTTCCATCAGGGAGCTTTATTAGCATATCAGGAGATCCTACATGACTGCCTAGGGAAACACACTCTAAGAGAAAGCGTTTTTGCTGTAACAGCTGCAGGGAGAAAGGAGTCCAGTTGGCTCAGATTTAAATATAAGAGAATGGATAAATTAAAGTAGCGTGCTGGACTCATTATGAGAAGTTAAAGAACGGGGACAGAACATGGTTTCCTGTTGAAGAAACTGAGATGATGGGAAATGTGGGGGTACAGGTCTTCTCTGGCAAATTGGAAGTTGAAAACAGACAAGCAATGTCAAGAAAGGGCCAGAAAGATTTCAGGGCTAGTGGACAAACATACATTTAATATTAAGGTTGAACATCTGTAGGCTCAAGTTCTTAGCTAGCTTCCTCAACTGTTTACCACAAGCAGAAACACAAATTCCCAAAGGTGAAATTTTGCCTTCTTCAATCAAAACAAAGGTATGAGAGCAGCTTGGGTTTGCTATCTGACAGCTAAATGCCAGTCAGAAATAAGCCGTCACAGCCAGTGCACTGGAATAGGACCATGTACAAGAGTTTAGAAACCAAGAGCCAAGCTTTTAATTCTCTGGTTAGTTGAATGATTGTTCTTGGAGCCTCTTGAAATTTTTCTCTTTTTTTTCTTTATTCATACATACCTTCTATTGGAAAAATGAGATTCTGAGGGTACCCATAGAAAATAAAAATGGATTTAAACCATGGACTTGCCAGGAACAGAGGCAGTACTAGCAGCCGGAAGTACCACTTTTCTGTTGGGTTCAGTGAATTTACTGAGTCAGGTAGATTTTTGTTTGTTTTCTTGATTGTCCATGGTATTCTCAAGTGTCTTCTCCAATATCAAAGTTCAAAAGCATCAATACTGTTCCTACCCTGCTTCTTCAAAGTCCAATTTTCACTTCCATACAGTGCCACAGGGAATACCATTGTTTGCACTAATCTGATTTTTGCATGTACAAAATATCATGGGATCTGAATATCTTTTCCAAGGTCTTCCTTTACTTTGATTGTATGTTTGTGATATTTATTGATCAATCGATCGATATACACATACACATCAACACGGTAAACATATTTGGATGGTTTAGTTGGAGCCAGAGCAAGGGAGTGGTTGGAAAGTATAGGAACTCTGACAATGGTCAGATGCTCGCTCTGCCCTGCAAATAGGCCTTAGGGCCAAGCTGGAGCTTCACCAACCTGTCTGCTGCCATGCAAAGGCCCTACCTGGATTCCTGAGTTGCACTGCAAGGATGGTGATTGGGGATGGAACTGCTGGTGATACATGTGCAAGATTTTATTAGCACAGGAAGGCAAGTTTAGTTTAACTTCAATTTCTGGCATACAAGCGCTGAGATAAGATTTCTTTACAATTAGATAACTCAAATTCCTCTCCTCTGCATTCCTGCCTTCCTCCAACCTATTTAGTGATAAACAGCAGGGAGATAGCAATCAAGTAAAAACTAGGAGCTTGCTAGGCATTTGAGTTAACTACTTTCCTTCCTTCTCTCTCTCTCTCTCTCTCTCTCTCTCTCTCTCTCTATATATATATATATATACGCGCAACCTAAGGTGTTGAATACATGTACATATAGCGATTTCTATGTCTAAATTCCCCTCCCACTGTCACAAGGGAATTTCATTCTCAGTCTTCTGGCAGTGGGAACTGGATGGATTTGGGAGTCCATGCCCTACATGGCAGCCACAGGCTTGTCCAAGTGATATTCAGCCTGGCCCATATAGCCGGGCAAATACCAGATCTGGCCTTTTATCTCTGAGCCCAAGCAATATGATAAATTCTCATCAGTCCTTTGCTGTGGTCAGATCACTTTCTGGTTCATACATATATTGTTTTTATGGCTGATCTCCACAGCAGAGGAAGATCAATTAAAATGGTTAGCCCTAGGGACCTGATGGACCTACTAGGGCTTTTGAGGATGCTTGTGGAATTTTCTGCTGTTCTTGCAGGCAGTTCTGCCACATCCCTTGTCAAGTCTCTGGAATTTGGAGATGGCAAGAGCATCGGATGAGACTGCTTTCCCGAGCAGGATCTCTCCTCTTGCACATGCCAGTGGGTCCCTTGGTTTACCAAGGAGATGCAGGGATGAAGCTAACGAATAGATGCCCAGAATGACAGTAGCAGAAAACAAAGAGTGAATGTGACCAAAGACATTTAAGCATCTATGATCAGAGAAGAGTGTCCTGCAGACTGTTGTGATACATCTGCAAGATTCTTCACAGATAAAATCACTCACATTTGCTTAAGGCTAGGCAGTCTTGCAAGGTAACTCAGGCAACATCCTGCAAGACCATTGGGGATTCTTTTGAGCTTCTGAAGACAGGTTCTCACAGAGGTATGAGTTTTCCATCTGTGCAGTGGATCTGGTGGGGCAGAGGGGGAATGGATTCAGCAGATGATTAATGCCCATTGAGAAAGGAGTTCATGCTGTCTGCATGGAAGGAGGCAATGGCGCACTCCTAGCTAAAGAGGTAATCTCTCAATTCAGCCATTCTAGATAACTTCTACCAGATCTCTACCTTCTCTTTGGGAGGAGGTTTTGGGAAAACAGTGGAGCTTAAACTACAGAAGGTCCTTAAAAAACTGGATTATCTGAAGCCTTTTAAACCAGGATTCAGGGCTGGTCCAGGTGATGATCTTTGCTGATAACTGGAGGGAGGGAGCATGCCCTTCCAGGTTCTACTAGATTTCTTGGCTTACCATAGATGATAGTACCCTTTAACACTGCTTTCAAACCTTAGAGATTGAAAGTAGTATGTTATGGTGGTTCCACTCCTTCCTGAGTGGGCAGTTCCAATCAGTGTGCATAGAGCAGGAACAGATGAGGCCCACCCCATCCCCACTATTTAACAACTACAGGAAGCTGAGGGTTGTCATCTATCACTATGGGGTGAGGCTGCTGTTTGCTGATGGTTCACCTGGATTGATCCCAGCTCTAACGTCAGCTCTGGAGGGTAGCACATTTTCCCTGAGGCAGGCCTATAATTTGGGAGTCCTTCAAATTCACACCTCCTGCCAGGCTGTGCAGTGCAGGCTGTGGCTGGGGAGGGGCAAATGCTTTATCTAACTTTGACTGGTGTTCCAAATGCAGAAACAACAATCTCTGAACTTTCCGAACTAAGGAACTCTGAGAAAAGTGACATATGGCCTTATCACCTTATGTTGAAGGCTGCTGTTATACAAGACTAAGAAGCTATAGTTGGTCTGCTACCCAAAGATAGCAGTTGGACCACTGCATTTTATTTTTGTGGGTTTTATACTATACATACTTGTATTTCTCTTTTTTATGGAGTTGTAAACCCATACCATTGAGCATACCATTTATTATCAGTAAATAAACATAGCCCCCTGCAGATGTTTTGGACTACATCTCTAACAATCTCCTGCAACTGAGCTACCAGCTGAGGCCGATAAAATGGAAGTATCGACGAATTTAAGGGCCTGGACAACTGATCTGTCTTAGTCCTTTCCAATATGCTTGACTCTCATCCTTTCCACTTTGTCTCCTTCTTTTCCATGCAATAAGATCCTTTGGAGTATGAATTAATAGGTCCCACTTATCTGCCACTTCTTGGCTCTGCATCCTTTTCCTTAGTTAGTTCCTTAGTTCTAGCCAGGTCTGCTGCCTATTTTTCTTTATTTTCTTTCTTCTTAAATTTATATGCTGCCCACCTCCACCTGAGGGTGACTCTGGGCAGCTTACAATTAAAAACCAAGACAATAAAAACAATAAAAATATAAATATCCCCCCAATTAAAATCACAAGTAACCTAAACCTATCTGATGTGCACTGCTCCTACCTTATTCCAGACACGACGCCCTCATCCCTTACTTAAGACAGGACTAGGAACAGAGTCAGGGCTAAGTCCAAGATTCCGCTCTAGGTTCCTTTCACAGAGCAGATAATCTCATTTGGGAAGGAGCCAAAGCCTAAATTCTGCTTTTTCAGCAGATTTCAAGAAAGCTGTAAAGTAATTCATCTCAGAAGGATGGTAACACTTCCTCCTACAGGTGGCCTTAAGAAACTTATCCTCAGTTCTATTGTTCTGATGATTACTATGGAAATAAACTTCTGCTATTTTTGGTCCAAAATAAAAACAACCCATCGACACCCTGCTCACCACAGTATTCGCATTCCAAGTCTCCGTAGACCTTCCTGATCTTTTCACACAAGGCTGTACTCATTTGTTGTTTTTGCAAACTGTCCAAAATCTGCATAAAGGCTGCAGTTCCAGTTTGATCCTCTGAAGGTTGAGGACATGACTCTGGCTTCTGGTCAGACACTGTACTGGATTCTAGAATGGGAAGTGAATTGGAGGACCCTGTCTTTTCAGGTGTTGATTTCTTGACTACCTGATGATTAAGACAAATGGTCTGACTCTTTTCTTCGGTATCTGGAACACTCTGTGGACCTTGGCAATTCTGGTTTAAACTGGAGCTTCCATCTTCCAAAAGCTGTTCTACTTCACACTGGACATTAGCTGAACAGTTGAGCGACAGTTCTTCCTTTATCGAATGGATCTTTTCTCCATCTGAATTCGGTGAAGCATTTTTCTGTAGAAAGCTATCTGAGGTACAAACCGGGCTTGCATGTGGGGACAGTAATTCTGTTAATGGCTCACAAACTGGATCTGTTGCATTTGCTGCTGGTGGACTTTCAGAATCCAAAAGTGGAGGAGGAGACATTTCCAAACTATCAGCCGGGTTATTGTTATTGTTTCCCTCTATGGTATTTACTTCTCCCATGCAAACAGACTTTACTATACAAAGTGCCTTAGAATTTAAGAGTGACAGTTCAGCTGCAGTCTGCGACAATTCCTCTCCAAGGGCTTCCTGCTGGATGTCTCCTCCAGGTTCCAGTAGACAAAAGCTCTGATTGATGGAATTATTAAAAACAGACGTCTCTGGTAATTCCCCGTGTGCATCTTTGATATGTGAGCGGAGCCTGATGGAGCTGACAAATTTCTTTGAACACTCACTGCAAATGTACACAAATGGGTGTTTTCGGACATGAAGCTCAAGAGCTTGGTACTTGGTGGCTCCATGGCCACAGAGCTCGCAAGCAAAGGGTCTCTCATCCCCATGGACAAGCATATGCCTGTCACGATCCAATTCATTTTTGAACTTGCGTTCACAGATTTGACAGTCATATAAAAGCTGCCTCTTGCCTTCCCGAGTCATCAAGCGAAGCTCATCAAAGACATTCTTGACTTTTTTGTCTTGCAAGTCATGGGCTTCCTTTATATGCTTGATCAGGTTTTTGACATCAGAGTATTTTTTCTTGCAGAAGCGGCAATGCTGCTTGATTTTCTTATGGACCCTCTCCACGTGGACTTTAAGGTGGCCTTTGCTCAAGCAGGTAAAAGGGCAGTAGTCACAAGAAAACTTCTCTCCTGTGTGCTTCCGTAGGTGAACATTCAGGTTGGCTTTGATGGCACTAGCATAACTGCAGAAGGAGCATTTGTATGGCTTCTCATTGGTGTGGATCCTCAGGTGGGCCTGAAGCGAGTGCTTAAATTTGAACACCTTGTTGCAATATTCACAGGTGAAAATTTTTAACTGAGTTGCACCCAGCCTAAGGAGAAAAAGAATCAAGTCATAAACCACTAAAGCAAACAGGAGTATAAGAGCCATCCAGTAAGACCAGCTGGGTCCTGAGGGCTACTCTTCCAGCCTACCCTGAACCATTTAATATATTGAGTTCAACCTGGCAATAGGTGTAGCCCCCTGGTTTCTTTTCTGTTTCTCAGCTAAGTAGCAGCAGGTCATCAGCCAAAGCTGCCTCCACTGCTGGGAAGCAGGCTGATGATCTGCTGCTACTTAGCTGAGAAACAGAAAAGAAACCAGGGGGCTATACCTATTGCCAGGTTGAACTCAATATATTAAATGGTTCAGGGTAGGCTGGAAGAGTTAGCATCAATATCGCCCTTCAGAGTTATGGACATGTGATTGCAGAGTGTATATTATATTAATGTTTCTCAAATAGAGTCCATCACCAGTGAAGCACTGAAGGCAACATTTTCCCATAAATCTCCCTACTGGCTAAAACAGAAATAAGAGGTATTCAGGCAATATGGAATGGATTCAAGGACAGAATATACACAGTGATATTCTAATTAAATCCCCCGTCAGACTTCTGATTGAAAGCTTTATATGATCCTTCCTTGGAGAGGTAAAAGTGTTCTGGATATCTAACTGGCATTTTGATGTCACCTGGCCATGGCTGACTTACCCACCGCATTCTACCCTATTTTGTATTTCTTTCTTTCCTTTTGCTTCCTCATTGCCTTCTACATGCAGACTACATCAGCAGAGATCATCATATTGCTTCCCCTCAATCATGCTAATTGCTTGTAAAACTGGGTCACGTGACAAGCACACCATTTTATATACATCATTAGCTAATAAGGGAAAAACAGCAGTGCAACATTCCAAATACCAGCCCTCTCATATGCTAATCGCTATCTAGCTTCTATCACGAAAGCTACAACTCCCCTGGATGGTGAAACATCCTTAGCCTGAACCAAAATTCCTGGAATTTTAAAAGGATGCCTGTATTATATTTAGCATCAACACAAGTCTCAAAGCATCTTTCTAAAAATGTGGTGTTTGCGCCTTCTCAGTCATTTAAGTTACATAGTGTTTCCAACCAGAATGCCACCCAGCTTACGTTTGTAAATGGAGATTACCTGCTTGACTTCATTGGCTGTTCATAAGGAGTTTGCTGAATTGCATATTCCTGATAGCCTCTTCGCTGAGATGAATCTGACACAGAGGTTTCTGAGTTGATTGGCTGCTCAATTTTGGGAGAAGCTGCCTCCACAGGAACTATTTTCGTAGCTCCTGCGGCAAAAGCAGAAATGCAATTCACGTAAAAGCCAACAAATTCTAAAATACTGTACAGGATAAATACAATATGGTAATGTTGAAGAAGCAGTGATTAATCCTTGACTAACAGTCTTACAGAATAACAGCTGACTGGTCTACTGTATTTATTTTTAAAAAGAGTTTAAAAAAATCAACAAAAAACCTATTAGACTCTTTTAAGCCTTCAGAACTGCAGTATCCACAAAGAAGTAAAAAATCTTTTTTTCCTTTACTTGTTCCAGTGCTGGACAGGGGCTCCCAACTCTAAATATTCATTATAACTCATGGGTACATGAAAGATTTGAATTCTTCCACTGTCCAATAATTAGAGCCAGTCTAATTAGCAGAGGGAAGATCCATTGCCAAGGCAACAATCAGATAAACTAGGCTTGGGCCCAGCCCAAGAAAGTGGTTTATGAAAATTCACGTTAAGATAAAAGAGGGAGGAAGGGAAGCACATTCAGACTTGCAAGATTGATATCAGCCCTATATGGTACACCAGACTAAGAAACAGACACTATATAGACTTAAAGTTACTTTCATTAGATCAGCTATAGTAAAGAATCTTGCAAGTCTGAATGTGCTTTCCTCCCTCCCTCTTTTATCTTAACGTGAATTAAGGCATTTTCATAAAGCATTTTCTTGGTCTGGGCTCAAGCCTCGTTTATCTGATTGTTGCCTTCCTAATGAATCTTCCCTCTGTCCTTCAAGGCCATCCTCTATATTCACTACTGTGGCCTCTTTACTCTATTCATCACACACAATTTTTCAATGCTACCCTCGTAGCATTCTGGGCTGCCAGCTACACACACACAGCCAGCTTCTGATAATAAATAAGATATTTATTGCAGTTGTAAATCTTACACAAAGTAGCAGAAAGCATGCTGAAACTCAAAGCTTACTTTGGGAAAGAATTTGAAGAGACAAATCTCAGGATCGTCAAGATCAAGCATAGTCCATTTCCAGTCCACCAGGCAATGCAACAGCATACAGACAAAGCCATAAGGAGGAAATTTGAACATTGTTTGACACAAAAAGCCAGTCACAAAAGCCATCTCTTTATATAGCCCATCAGCTTGACTAATGGGCTGAGCCACACTTTTTCTTTCAAGAAGACAGCTGTGTCTCCTTAAGGACACTGTCTTTAGCTAATTCCTGTATGTAAGCTGAGGCTCAAACTGGTCAAGCTCTTCAGCTTCTGAATACCCAGACTAATCTTTAACACCTCCCCTACAAACAGCCCTACTCTGAATCTAGAAGCAAACCTAACCTAGATAGAAGGCAGGGACAATCTTGAGAATATTTGCTGGTGAGAAATATCAAGCCAAGGTATGATTAAATGTTGCTCCTTCTCATCCATTCACCAATTCTTTCTTGCTAATGTCTCATCTCCACTATCACCCAAATTCTAGAATATACCTCTGCTGAGTTTTAGCTCAGCTCAAGTAACAACTTATCTTAGTTAATGAGCAACTTTTTTCTTGAAGAATAACACCATTTTTGTGCTGCAGTAGATTATCAAACTTGAAATGTGAACAATAGTGTGTCATATTTTAATTTCAGCATCAGAGCTTATCTACAAAGGCCACAGTGAAGAAACAGAGCAAAGAGAACTGAGCAGCAAACAATTAGGAAGACAACATGAGAAAAAGAGACTTCGAAAAAAGATAAAGCTGAAAGCTGACATTTAGAATAGAATAGGAAGCTGTCTGATAAACAATAGTGAGTGCTTTCTCTCTGTAGGCCATCTCATCTTTTCTTTTCTTTTCTTTTCTTTTCTGTCTATCAACTAGTTTTACCTATATTTGTTTAGAGAAGTAACATATATTTAAGTTTTCAATGTTGGAGTTTTCAACAATGGAGTACAGGGCAAATATGGAGAATGGTCCTTTCTTTCTTTTGTTTAATACGCTAAAAAAGAAATAAATCTGAAAAGCATGTATTTTAAAAATCAGGGGAGGATACTTGGCTGGCTGGAGAGAAAGCAGCAGCAACAGAGGACTGGTTAAAAAAGAATGTGAGTCTGGTGAAAAGGAATACCTTCTGTCCCAAAGATGCACCAAGCTGATAGTTAGATATAGAAGGAAACAGACAACAGGATACAGAAATGAAGATGTTACAGATGTATGAAATTAAAGTGATCATACACTAAAGAAAAAAAAAAACTTTCCTTCTTGCAAGAGGAAGAACGCTGAGGTTGCATTTACAAGATTTAACATAACCAGAACATAAGGTCCAAAAGGGAAACATTTTTCTGCTGTTGTGTTCTTGAACTTGTGCATTTTTTCCCCTTTTTTCCAGGTCTTTTTTTGTTCTTTGGAGCATAAGTAAGTCAGGTTTACCTACCTACAAGTCTGCTAAATAGAATTTTAAAAGCCTGCAAACATCACACTACTATACACAAAAATGGGCAAACTTTCACCGAGCCCCAAAGCACAACTCAAATAAGAAGTAGCACAACAAAGTCAGTTTCACCCATTATACAACAGCCACAAAGGCAGGATTAGGCAGCCAGAACTGTATTTGTACAGTTGCTACAAATCAACATGTCTTCCTCCTCCTCCTGGAAACTGATGCAGCCCAGCAATTTCTAAAAGTTGCTCTAATTCCAGAGACAGATGAACTTTGGTCATGGATTTTGGGGTAGGCCGCAGAAGAAGTCAACTCATACAGGAATTTTGGATTGGGGTAGATAAACCCAAGAAAACAGGAACATATTTCTTAAGGGATGCACATAAAATGTTAATCCTGTATCATATGGGAAGAGCAATGTGTTACCTTCATTTTGGATGGCTTTCAATGCAGAATGCTTCCATGGTTTGGAGGTTTGGGGGTTTTTTGGGGGGGAGGGGTAGGTTGCTGCTACTTTCCACGTCAACAGCGGTAGGTAATTTAAAGGTATTACTTTTAATAAAGAGTTGCTTCACTTTAATGGGTGGAAATAAGTGTATCTCACTTCTCCACCCTGGAAACAGCCACATCTGTTGAAAAGAATCTGCGAGAAAGAGAAGCAGTGCTGTGAACCTAATGTAAAGGAGCTAATGTCAGAGTTTTTCAAGTATCCCACTTAAAAAAGAGACACACTGTCTGTGCAAGATAGTCCTCTCAATATCCTGAACACTCCTAATATTAGTTTACTTGCTGTTCCTTCAGCTAATAAAAAGCTTCCCTGGCATCTTCTACTAAAATTTTATTACATAAGATCTGCAGAAGAAAATGACTTTTGTGAGGTATGTTCAACTTTGGTGAAAAGTTGTTACTGAATGTGAAGGCACAACGTGTGCCTTTAAGGTGAACTGCTTTTCTATTCAGCATACAGTACTGATGACCTATACTAGTAAAAGGCAAGACGATGGGAGAGTTTATGTTGTATAGGCCAACAGCCGAATCACATGAAATAAAATAAACCTTGTTCTTCCTTCCTGCAATCTAGTGAAGCTCCACAGAGAAAACAGTTACACAATGTCTCTATGGGGCTATAATCAGCATGAGGGGAAGCAATTCTTGTCTAAAAGACTGCTAAAAATTGCTGGGATGAAATGACAAGCATCAGACTAGCAGGCTCGAAGCCCACCACTGCACAACGTCCAAGTGAAGGAAGATAATATTTTAATGTATTCTTATTATGAAAAGAGACAGAAAGAAGAAGAAGAAAACCACAATAGACATATTGCAAATAAAAAAAAATCATTCAGCCTAGTTTTCATCATTATATATTGACCACATGAAATCACATTCATCAATCTTTCCACTGCATTCATAGAATAACAGTTGATAAAAAGAAGCCCATATCTATAATCCAAATCCACAGTATTCCTTTGTTCCTAGCACTGAAATATTATTATTTCGTGCAGTCAAAAGGCAACGTTTTCACAACACAGAAAGAAAGGATTTGCTGTAGCATCAGACTCTGTCTTTCCATTTTGGCTAAGGTTTAAGACCTCACCTAGACCAGATCACCCATGCAGAGTTCCTGTGCTCTGTGCAATTAACCTAAATACGTATGAGCACATCAGTAGAAGTCGATTCTGATAAGCATCAGAAAGCCTGCAAAGCTTGCAGCTACGATAGCAAAAAAGGTACTAAATAAATAATATATTATAACAATCCTATTGTTACAACAATAGGACATATCCTTTTGAAAAAGGAACTGCAAATATTTATGCAAGTGAATGCCGTAGAATCTTAGGATGATGAAGGAGTTCTGGATGTATAAATAAAAAGAAACCTTTGCCATCTAAGAAATAAAGCTTACGTGCGTTAGAAAACCCTTTCAGATCTTCACACCATTATTTCACAACTCACAGTAAGCTCCAAGGTTCAGCAATCTAGAATTCTGTATTATTTACAGGCAACTAAGTTTGCCATCCATAATTTCAATTTTTCCACTTTGCAATTCTAATGAGCAGACAGGAAGCGAGCCCCAGTTTTTCCATGATTCTGCAAAATCTTCCAACTCTTGTGTCAAAAGCTGTATGTTGTATTCTGAAACGCCACTGTAGGAATACAGATTCTTTTACATCCGTGCTGCATGCTACATGAGGGTAAAACTGTATCATCTTTATGGCAAGTTGAAAGAAATGCAAAACCTGATTTAGATCGTTGATGACTGTATCTTATTGTTTATCTTAAGTCGAATCTCCTTTTTTTCCCCCAGAAACAAATAGTTAAGGTTACCTGGAATTGCTTCGTGGGCTGTCAAAACCACACTTATAATAGGATTCTTAGCTCCTGAGCCCTGGTCTGCTTCTTTTGAGAAAAGGCTTTTCTCAGTCTTCTGTACCCGCTGCCTCTTGGGTGGTTTTTCTCGCTCATCTTCCCTCCTGTCAAGGTCAACATCAGAATCATTACCTAAAGAGCAAATATCAAAAAAGAACACAAAAGAATGATGAGTAGTTTTCTTTTATATTTACCATCCACAGGATGGTGAGCTTCACTATTGTTTAGTTGAAAAAGAAACACTTGCAAAACACAGAAGACAGTTTACTACAACAAATACAGTGGTACCTCGGGTCACAAACTTAATTCGTGTCGCGACCCAAATCAAATTTTCCCATAAGGTTCAACGTAAATACGGTTAATCCGTTCTGAACCATATGTAT